TACTTATTTTTTTATAATTATTTATAAACTAATATTTTTAAGCTTACTGATTTTTAATAGTTATATATGCGATGATAATAACCAAAGCTATATTTTAAAGACTCTTTGAGCATTTCATATTTATAGATTATTTTTCTTTCATCAATTTAGAACTTGAAACTTATTTTTTAAAAATATTAGCATAGGCTTATCATAGAGTTAAGATGCAATAAATTTGCTTAACAAATATGTTTGTAGCCAATTGCTTGTAGCAGTAATACAGTTTCCATATCTTTTTAGATTTAGACACATATAAATGATATTTAAAAACTTGTAATTATATGTAAATATAAGTATATACGAGTATGTGATAGTAGTAAAATGTTATAACAGTTATTTGGAATATAAAATATGGATTTATTTATAATTTGTCCCAGTGATTTGTTTGAAAATATTTTGTTTAACTTTTTATTATACTTTAGTGAATATTTGGTTGTGGGTTTTTCATTGAATAAGTAGATAATATTATTAAGTTGTTATTTTTTTTTTTTTTTTTTAATATTTTGATCGGTTTAGGTTTTACAGTGTAAAATGTGGTGCCCCAGTAACTTAGTTCGCACACTTATAATACCAAATTGTAATCTATAGATGAGCATATATAAGGTAGCAGCTGATGAGCTACTCAAAGAAATATTCAATCTATTCAATTGGAGGCTATGAGTAGGCATCCAACTGATACGATTCCCCAACTCCCTGTCAAGGTGTAGCATGGGTAAGTCACCAGAGATAGATCAAATGTAATAAATGAGTGGAATACACCAAGAGATGAGATAACGTATTGGTCTTACAAAGGGAGTTGCTTAGCTTAGCTCGACTTAGATCTCAGCTTATCTACGATAACAAATTTGCAATGCTTAAATATATAGATAACACATACATATAACATATAAGATTGTATATAATTTGCTTATATATTTTCTTATTTATCCACATGAGTGTTGTATGGACTATTTCCGCTTGATCACCTCCTGCTTCTGCTGCGGCACCCGCTCCCACAGCGTGCGAAAGTGTGCGTCCGCCTTGCGTGGATTGAAATTGGCGATGGTGTCCTTCGAGTAGTTATGCAGAATCGGGGGCAGCTCCGCGGAATCATCAGGGTCATCTGCAGCGCCATGGCCCAATGACTCTGACTCATCCACATCCATGAACTCCAGGGCATGCGACTAGACAATTATCGAAATGGTTCGCTTGGGTCATCGGGGGCTGTCTCACCTTCAACTCGACGGGCTGACTTACCTGATGGCTGGCGAGGAGTGATAGTAGAAGTAGTGTGGAGAGCAGCCGCAGCCACAGCCTTGTGCATTGGGAGGCCATCAACAGCAACAATAACAAGTACAGCTACAACAACAATGCGCGATAATAAAAGCAACAATAACAATAAAAAAATCGCAAAAAAAAATTATATTGGCTCACAACATTTTACGTTGACCAGCGAAACGCGACTGGCCTCAGCTCGTCATACGTCCAACTGTCGGACCCAAACAAACACAGAGAGCGAGCGTGAGAGAGAGAGACAGAGTGAGAGAGCAAGAGAGTGCGGGGAAGTGGGGAGTGAGATCCCCCTGCTTAGCGCCCTCTCATGGCGCTAGCACCTGGCGTTTGGCTACACGTGCACCGCATACCGAAAAGCTTGAGCTGACCCTATCGCACTTGGTCTATTTATAGCGCAGTGCGTCATTCGCTGCCCCGCCCCAACCCCCAATGGAGCTTAGCTTGTGCAAATGTGGGCATTTTTTTTTTTTTTTTCTGTTTAATTGCCTTCAACTGCCTCTGCCGCCCATCCCGCCTAAACATATTTTCAATCCGCATCATGAAAATGTTTTAATTTTTTTTAATTTTTATTTTTATTTTTAATTTGTTTGTTTATTCAACTGTTCTGACTGGTTAAGCTTTGGCTTTTGGCTTTCAATTTTTGTATTAATGCATGCGAAAATTATTAACCAGAACGCAGAGCTGAACCGGAACTGGAACGAGTCCGGGAATGCGAATGGCAATGCACACGGTGAGCGCGAACCGGAAGTTCCTATAGCAAAATCAAAGCGATTAAGTGAAATTGTGACTAATCAATCGAAATAATGAGAATTTGATAGTCAATGATAACTGGCAAATTCCAAGCAATCAACATTACAGTTATAATTGTTTACTATTCAGCTGTTTTTCTGCTTTCGCTTTGTTGTCTTTAGATGCCAACTTTCGATCAGACTAACTGTAGTTAGTGACTTGTTATCGCATTTACAGACCCATTCATAAGCGTATATAATATAGTACCGCTGCACCCCTCCCGTCCTGCCAGCCGTTAGTTATTGCCCTCGCCAGGGCACGCAAATCGCCCGCACACCTAAAAATTCAATTAATTTTGGGCTTATCAACAAATGCAATCGCGGCTGGCTATGAACTCATCCATATGGTCGCGATAGGCTGGGTCCATGATGTATCTCTCTCATGTATTTAGTAAACATAGTTAAAGATCGTTATCCAATTAGTCAAAAGCTCATGTAATAAATTGCCTGAATTAAGGTGCGGAATTTTAATTACATAATTTACGCGTGCGCTCCATATAAATGGAGTAGGAATGGGAGGAGATGGAGGAGGAGGAGGCGTTGTTTGAGTATGGGCTGTATTAGAAGAAAATATGGGCAAGTAATGTAAAAAAGTCAACGTAATGAAATAATTTGAAATTGTCTAACTGAATACTGAATACCCTAACAAATTAATTTTAATATTATTTATACAATATTAGAGTAAATTTGAGCTCAACATTTTTTAAGGGATGAAATTGATGTGAAGTCAGCGGTAAATTAAGAGTAGAACTACATACACATATGTATGTGCATATATAGTTTTTATGTTCATTAAGGAATTCGGAATACTCAAGTAAAAAAAGTCGTATGTATAATATCATTATTATATTGGAGTGAAACAAAATATGCAAAGTTTTCAATGTAACATGCACGATATGAAGGTCAAAGTTTGTGGAAAAATTAAAACAGAACCATAATACTTAGTATATCTGTAGGTATATGTGAGTTTGATATTCATTAGACTGGCTTAATTATGAATGGATATAGAAATATTTGCAATTGAATTTTAAAAAATATATATTTATATCAATAAACCTCTTCATATTGATTACTTCATTGCTCTCAACTCGGAGCCATCAAATAGTCATTGCACTCAGCTGTATCTATATCAAAATATGCTATGCAACGTCCCTTATACATTTGACTTCTAAAAATGCATACAACTCTCTTAGCTTAGGGTATTGGGCAGAACAGAAAAACAAACAAGCAGAGAAATCAACGAGACTGTAACGCAATGGTTGGGCTGAAGTCAAAGTGCGTTTGATAGGTCATCTTAATAGAAAAGTACACGCAATTTGTGTGCCGCGTGTCATTAGAAAAAATGACAGTAATAACGATAATTATGAATTTTATCCGATTAACCGCCGCCCAAAAGGTGCGTGGGCCAAGTGACGGGGCATAAGTCAAAAGCACCGCAACAACAACAATTCGCTCATGGCTTAGCATACACACAAATGCGGCACATATGTATGTATGTATGTATGTACGTATGTAACAGGAGGAGTATTCAAAGTATTAAGTGCAATGCGTGCCATTGAACAATTAATTCTTATCTACTTAGCCAATGTCGAGTGGGGCAGGTTGGTGGTGACTGATGCAACAGTCAGTCCTTTGACTCTGCTCCCACTCGTGCTGTCACTAAACATTTCCAGTTGTATTTCCATTTCCATTTCCATTCGCATTCCCATTCCCATTTTCATGTGCCTTTTCATTTTCATTTTAATTTTCATTTCCATATTCAGTTCGAGCACAAGTTTATGTCCCTTGCAACTAGCCAACTGTCAGGTAGTAGGGCAGACTCAGGCCCGCCCACCTTTCAATTTCCCACCTACTGGCTAACATTTCTCACGTGTCATCGTGAGGCGCAACTGTGAGCTCCAATTGCGTGTCAAATGCGCTCAATTCTGTTATGACAATGCGATGTAATTAGAGGCCACGCATAGGCTCGCCTCATCATAATGATAATGCTAATGATGATGATGATGACAATGACGATGGTGCGTCCCGGCAAACCGCCTAATATATGACGGCCCCTAGCCCTATCTGGGTGTGTGCCGCACTTGATAAATATTATTGTAAATGGGCCCGAGATGACAGTCACACACACACACACACACACATGACAGTAAAATGGGCACATTAGAGGCGTGCGCTGTTGAATTTGCATATGACAAGTAGCCAATGACTAATACACTCAAACACACACATACACGCTTTTACCAAGACTTTACTAGTTTCATGCTCGAGCAGTTGCAGGATGTAGTTGATTTCTTTTTAATCGAATTTATGGTATTTTCCTAACGATCTGGCAACACCTGAACTGAACTGAACTGCATCATTTAAAAATTAATATTTACTCTATTTTGATTTTGTTTACATGAATATTAGAGGTAATACTAGATTCAAGTAAATGAAGTACATTTTACATATCCGATAGCATTCAATTAAAATCGATATACAATATTCTCTCTTTTGGACTTTAAAAGTTGTATTCGATAAATTTAATCTTCAATATCTTCAATGAAGCACTCAGATGGGCACTGTACAACACTGCCTGATCAAAGCTCCGCTTTACAAATTTCAAATTCTTTTCAACTGAGAACCCTTTTCTATAAAACATCTCATATTGCTTACCTCTATTATAATAGAGCTGAGCTTTGGCCCAATTTTTCTGTTTTTTTTTTTTTTTTTTTTTTTTTTTTTTTTTTTTAACAATTTACCAATTTTGTTTTTTAAGTCTTTAAAGTAGTCCAAGCTACTATAAAAATCAATACTAATTAAACCAGACTAGATAAAATCCACATCATGTATATACACTAGCTGCACGACTTTTGCTATGTCGTGCTCTTATCTAGGCGTATCGCCTCTTTTCACGATTTCAGTAACTTTTACTGCTCTGCAGTTGCCCAGGGTGAGTATACAATATAAAAGCCTAGAGTTCATTTCAAATTTCAGTTCAGATCCAGTAACCTGAAGAAGACGATACTTGACATAATGCAGTTCTATTGCAAAAATTCAATCAGCTTTGTCGCCTTGGCCGTGGCTTTTCTCTGCCTAGCGCAGATGACGCCGACAGCCAGTGCGGTACGTGCGGAACTAGTTCAGTTCCAGAACAGAACTAACTATAGATTCAATCTTTGCAGGCCTGTACAATTGAACAGCTGAAATCGAAAGCCGAATTAATCTGCGGAGCGAACATATTCACGGCGCCTGCCTGTAAGCTCGTTGCCAACGTATGTTATCGAAATAGATAATTTGTGGACGGTGTGTTTCCTACCTGTCTGATGCGATTTTCTATTTTCAGAAATTGTTGGATCAATTCGAAGCCATCTGCTCACTTGGCAGTAACAGCCAAGAATCTACGACAGCGGCCGCGCCCGTCGCAGCGCCCGCAGCGCCCGCAGCGTAAGATGGCGATATCATGATGACCTTCCCTTAGCTGACTCTATGCTCTACTGATATTCGTTACTATGTAAAACCTTACCGTTTGTACGTACAGTTTGCCTTGTAAAGAAATATATTTTTAGTCCTTGCATACATGAGTTTCGTGCATATTTGATGGGGCTCGCGGATGTTGGGAATTGGCCTGCAATCATTTTGTAATTGCGCTCGCTAGCGCGATTCCTGAACCGCAGAAGGCCGGGCCGAAAACCCGTTAGGGCAACTAATTAAAACCACTTTAGCAATGCTTTCTCAACTGTAAAGTTAGCTATAAACAACGACTCAAAGCAGCTGAAGGTGCACATGTGTGTGTGCGTGTAGATTAAGAGACATATGAAACATGAAACAAAATTAAAATGCAAATAATATTCAGAGCATTTCAGCAAGGGCGCAGTGCTAGAAAAATTCCAACATAATTCCAAATAATATCACAACACCTGCAGAAGCGTTTTAAGTGCACAGACGCATACATTCACACATACGCACACACACACGCCGATGTGTATATGTGTGTAAAAGGGGGTATTTCTTGAAAAATCGCTGCACTGGAATTAATTAATTCGCTGCTGCCGTTTTAGTACCTGGCAAAAATATGTAAAAAAGAAAAAAATTATTCAGGCTGTGATATAAATCGAGCATAGGTCGAGCGATAGGCGACCCAGAGAGGGCGCTATAATAAACGATCAGAGAAAGGAAATTTGAAACTAACATAACATATACATAT